ATCAAAGAACATATGCAAACGTGACAGCAAATCAAACAAATCACGATTCAGAACCTAAAACTAATATAGAACAACAACTATTAACATTCCTAAACGAGTTCAAAAACATGTTCTCACAACTCATGAGTCAAAACAGTATGATATTAAACTTACTAACACAAGTCATTAACCAAAGAAATTCTTAAACATACTTAGAGTTGCCACATGGAACGCTAACGGCCTGCTAAACCATAAGCAAGTAGTAGTTACTTTTTTAAACTTAAATAAAATTGACGTTCTGCTTATTTCAGAAACTCACTTTACCGATCTAACTACGTTCAATATTCCGCTCTATACCACATACAGCACACCTCATCCTGATGGTACAGCTCATGGTGGCTCGGCGGTAATCATCCGCAGCTGCATATCACATCATGTATTGCCGAATTATGCAACAGAAAAAATACAAGCAACAATCGTTCAAGTAAATTCAACACCATGGCACTTTAACATATCTGCAATGTATAGCCCACCTCGTCACACAATCTCCACAGATGAATACAAAGCCTTCTTCCAATTACTTGGCAGCAAATTCGTTGCCGGGGAGACTGGAATGCGAAACACATACACTGGGGCTCAAGACTTATAACAACAAAAGGTCGTAATCTTCTAAAAGCAATGACCGACAACAACTATGATTGCCACACCAACGGAATCCCTACGTACTGGCCAAGTGATCCAACAAAACTTCCAGATCTGCTGGACTACTACATAAGCAAAGGAGTCGCCAGAACCAACTGTCTAATAGAATCCAGCTATGATCTCTCATCGGATCATACACCGGTTATTATGAGCCTGAGTACCACAGTTATAAACAGCCCACCACCTCCACGACTCACGTCAAAAAACACCGACTGGGCAGATTTTCAATCCTACCTAGAAGAAAACACCCATCTTAATCAGCGGATCAAGTCTACACATGACATAGATACAGCAGCTCAATACTTCACCACACTTGTGCAAAAAGCGGCATGGCAATCTACACCACGAACTGAACGCAAACCAACACATACCACAAATGTTCCCCTGCACATTCGCCAACTCATTGCTGAAAAACGTCGTGCGAGGAGAACTTGGCAAAGATCTAGAAATAACATAGACCTACATATATTCAATAGACTACGAAGGCAACTTGGAGTAGCCATCAAAGCTGCAAACAACGAAACCTTCGAACATTACATAACAAATCTTACAGCAAATGACCAGACGTTATGGAAGGCCACTAAGAAGCTAAAGAAACCATACACAACCATTCCTCCTATCCGTAAACCAAATGGCGAATGGGCCTGTTCCAACAAAGAAAAAGCTGACGTTTTTGCTGAACATCTTACAAACGTATTTCAAACAGAGCCGGCAGACCCTGATGAAGAAGTGGAAGAACTAATTAGCGCAGCATGTCAAATGTCCCTCCCAATTAAAAGTTTTACTCCTATAGAAGTTAGGAAAGAAATAAACAAACTCAATTCACGAAAGGCCCCAGGTTATGATTTAATCTCGGCACAAGTACTAAAACAACTTCCTCTTAAGGCCATAACTTTGCTAACAGTTATATTTAACCGCATGCTAAGCTTATCATACTTTCCAAAAATATGGAAATTTGCTGAAGTCATTATGATCCTCAAGCCAGGAAAAGAGCCCAATGAAGTAACATCTTATCGACCTATCAGCCTGCTCCCAACCGTAAGCAAAGTTTTTGAAAGATTGCTTCTTCAAACAAAATAAGCAGATCATGAATTCCTTACATTACTTCCAAAACATCAGTTTGGTTTTCGGGAAAATCACTCCACTACCCAACAAGTTCATCGAATGATAAATGAAATATCAAAAAGTCTTGAAGAAAAGAAATACTGCAACGCTGTATTTCTAGACATCTCACAAGCGTTTGACAAAGTTTGGCACAGAGGTCTGCTTTACAAAGTAAAAATAGCACTATCCAGTAACTATTTCCTCCTACTTAAATCCTACATATCAAATAGATATTTCTCTGTAAAATTCAAAGACCAACAATCCAATCTCTGTCCTATCAACTCCGGAGTCCCGCAGGGTAGTGTTCTAGGGCCGCTGCTTTTCTCACTCTACACAGCCGATATACCAGAGACCAATAATACTACAATCGCTTCTTTTGCTGACGACGTAGCAATACTAGCCGTAAATGAAGATCCCATACAAGCCTCACAAAACCTGCAACATCATCTGAACATACTCAGTGATTGGTATACAAAATGGAGAACAAAAGTAAATAAAACAAAATCAACTCAAATAACATTTACCAACCGTCACAATATATGCCCACCTGTAAGGATGGAAAATATAAGAATACCAACAGTAACAGACGCTAAATACCTTGGCCTCCATCTTGACCAACGACTCACTTGGAAGAAACATATCCAGACCAAAAGAAAGCAGCTCGACTTAAAATTCCGACAAATGTATTGGCTTCTTGGACGTAAATCAAAACTTAACATCCAAAACAAAATTCTTCTATACAAAGCCATACTCAAACCTATCTGGTTCTACGGACTACACCTATGGGGCTGTGCAAAACCAACGTCGCTGAATATTATCCAAAGATTCCAGTCTAAAGTACTAAGATCGATAGTGGATGCGCCATGGTACGTAAGTAACCAAACACTCCATAATGACTTAAAGGTTCCTTTCATCAGAGAAGAAATTCATCGAGCCACGGAGTCACAAAATGAACGTACCATTCACCACGAAAATGAGCTAGTAAGGGAACTATACAACAATGGACCAGCCACAAGAAGATTACATAGAACCTGGCCTCAAGACCTTCTTCAGAACTAAACCAAAGTAGAATAAGGTGGGACATCATTGGATGTCCCCCCTTCACGCGCAAAACCTGTAATCACATTTACTTAATACTCTTTTTTTGATGTAGATTGTAAATAAACATAATTATAAAAAAAAAAAAAAAATATGGTTCACACTCATGTCAAAAAGATAGCACCTGGTCTATTAATAGATACCTTAGACAAATAGATTTTATGCCAATTTGAAGGTAGTTTCTTGTTCACATATTCTCCTCCAAAACAACTTCCTAAAGTACTAATTTTCAAAAAAATAAAATAAATTAAATTAATACAAAGGTTTGTTTTAGATGCCAGAAATATCTTTGAAATTAAACAGCACCTTAGAACAAACGGGAGGTTTAAATAGCCCGAAATTTATAACCAAAATGGCTAATATAGTTTTGATATCAATTATGTCAATTTTAGTAAGATTTTCTAATTTAATTCATATGCCCAAGTATTTACCTTCTCTATTAGAAGAGATTCAAAACGTTGATAGAATTATTCCTTCCTTGGATAATAATGATTTTAGAAGAAATATTATTTTATCAAGTAAGTATAAACCTATAAAGTATGGTTAATATATTCAAATAAGTTCCAGTTATTGTGTATTAGCACATTGTCGTAAGCTTCCTCCACGTCTCCAGAGCTTTCAAAGCTCTCTTTATTCACTTTTTTATCATTTGCTGGAACACAAATGTACCTATTAACCAAACAAGATCGTGCACTGAGGAAACTGTTTTTTTCCCTCGACATCTAGGAATTGTTTCAATTATTTTCTTAGGTCGCACTAATACCTTTACAATTGATGTGTACAATGTTACATACTTCTTTAAGTATTAGGCTGATAAATGATATTTGCGGAATAACATCATTTATAGACATTTATTGAAAATGTCCGTAATTTGCAGGTCTTAATCATGTTTTACAACCTCTATAGATAAGCATCCATGTCTAGTTGTTTCCCAGTTTTTCATACGTTTCAAATTTTTTTAACTTCTACCTTAGTAATCATTTCTATGGTTAAAAGTTTCATTTCTTAGTAAAAATTGGTTTATGGAGATTACAATCTATGATGAACTTAAGCAAAATATTTTGACGGACATGTCACTTCCGGTTATACAGGAAGTAAACAGCAACTGTGTTAGGTAAAGAAATAATAAATAAGACTTACTCACAATCAATTTAATTTAACTATCAGACGACCGGTTTCGCTTTCTACAATATGCAAAGCATCCTCGGGTCTCGATACAAAGTTAAGTAAATGCTGAAATGATAAAAACCCATATTAGGGTGTTGTCTAATAAAGATAAACAAAGTAGATGTTGTAAATTATAATAATTATGCCAATATTACATGTCTGTGGTTTTATTTCAAAAAGAGTAAGTTGAATAAAAAGGTATAAAAGTTTTAAAAGTTTAAACAGACAAGGTAAGGCCCACAAATTGTTATGAAATAGTCTATCAGATTGTAATAAATTAATAAATCAGCAAATAAATAAAAATAAACATTACTCTTTCCACACAGGAGATTGCAATGCACCTCCTTGTACCCCGCTGCCGACGCCCATGTGTGGTTGTATATTATTTTCCATCAGTTAGGTACATGCGCGATAATTTAAATAATTTTTCATCGGGAATTACAAGGTGCAGGGATTGTGATTCATGATTTTAATATTTTTCTTCAATTTATATCCACAATTTAATATACTTACTAACTTTTATATATAATTACATCGTTGATTTAGATACTGGAGATACTCCTATATTTTTTTACCCTATGAAGAGTTATATACATGGTTATATAGTAATATTCTTCAGTAATGTTGTTTTAGATGTTTAGGTGTAGTTGTGATTTGCAGAATAGGTACGTAAATTAAAAAATTATAATTATAATGTATAATTAGTATATGAATAATTAATAATACTCTCTTTAGATTAAAAATAATTATTTAATTATTACAATAATCTGTCTAACTTTTTGGAGGGGATAGCCGTCGACTAAATCGACGTCCAATCAGCGACAAGCGGCAAGAGAACTGTCTATTATTGTAGGTTCAAATATTTTGAAAGAATGCTATGAAAACAATTGCGAATCGAGGAAGCCGACAAGTTCCTGTCAATTTGTGCTTTGTCAAATTACATTTATATAAGTAAATTTTGTATATTATAATTTCCTATTTGGCTAGTTTAAGTAGTTTATCTTCCATTATTTATTAGGTTAATATTGTGTGTGTACCAGATAACTTTAGCTGAAGTAATATTTAAACAAGTAGGTAAGTGCAATTCTTTTTAGAAATGAGTTGTTGATTATACTATTTTTCTAGAATGCCAGCTTTATCCAGAAAAACATTCGTTGTACCTTTAAATAAAAAAACTAAATTTAAATCACCTATCACTTACAAGGAAAATATATCAAACCTTATAGATACTGCCAGCAATAATACTGGAGAAAAAAATAAGGTCCATAAGAAGCATACTAAAGCTCTGTCATCCTTACAGTGTGATAAAAGTAATACATCAACTCTTCAGTCCAAAGAAGAGCAACCAAAACTGCTTGAAAAATCAACAGAAATAGATAGTTTTGAACAAAACTCAGATTTAAGTTTAATAAGTTTATCCCAAGACGTTTTAAATAGTCAAGGGGTTAAAGATCACTATCTATCATTTTGGGAGAATTCCTTAACGCCCGAGATTTTAAACGATATTAGTTTGTTTTCCCAGCAGTTTAATACACCTGAAAATAAATCTAATAAAAAAAAGTCTACTAAACCGAAACAAACCAAAAAATCAGAAGTAAAAAAAATTTCTAAAAGTGGCAATCAAAAATTAAAAAAAAGTGCAGTTACTGAGCCTAAATCAAAAACTAAAGATAAAACGGATGTAGATCTATATAGAAAAATGTGTCTCATTCACGAATCAAGGAATGTAGGCCTATTTGTATTTTGTGATAATTGTAACAAGCAACGGTATTTGCCAGATGTGAAAGATCCCTTGGAGTTACCAGAAACTTGGTTTTGTTGGATGAATAGTGATCCTAGTTATAATAAATGCACTGATAAGGAACAAGATGTAACTGAAGAAGATGAAGATTTCATGATTTATAACTTATATAACAGTGGAAGTGTGGTATGGGCAAAAATCGAGGGTTACCCTTGGTGGCCAGCCATGGTTGAAGATGATCCTGACATAGAAGACTACTATTGGTTAGAAGAGGGAATTCTAGAACCGGTAAGTAAAGTAGTTTATTCATTTTTGTTGGTATTTCACTTTTTACAAATTTTTGTTCGTATTCTACTCAATATAACATTGAATGAATTGCTATTTTGAGCATTGCTTTTACAACAACTTGCTCTAAAACGATATTAGTTGAAATGATGAAGGCAAAGTCTGTTCTTCTTAAGGTGCCTATGATGTCAACCACATTGACTCATCGACCCATTGACATTACAAAGTCTGTAATGTAAATCAATAAAATTAAGTTGTCATACATAAAGACATTTGTAAGATTTTTTACTAAATTAACAAGCATTTAATAAGATAATGAAAATTCTTTGTGATCTATGGTATTAGGTTCTTAATTTATTTACAACTGGTAATATTCATGTACGCTTCCAAAGTCAACAATATGTGGAAACATGAATTGAAAGTAACTTAAGTGAGAAAATTAATTGAAAAAACTAATTAAAAAAGTTGCTAATTGCATTAATCATGTTATTTTTACACTTCATATTTTTTTGCATTAAAAATGAATTTTTTTATTTTCCATTTTTTTTACCATCTTTAAAATGTGTAATTACAATGAGTAAATAATTTATTTATCTACATCTAACTTGCAAAAAAGTGCCCTATGACAATTTCCTATTGTTTTATAATTTTAGAAATAAATTATTTGTGACCTTTGGATTTATAATAGGTAGATTAAATAAATAAATAAATCAATTTAAAAATCTTGTTGGAAGGTTGCTAGGAGTTTGTTACTTAAATCTTCAATTTATGGTATATACATAGGTGGGTACACTTCATCTAATTTACATACCGATGCACGTCATCGGCGTCATAGCCCGTGACGTCACATGATACCAACACGAAATATTTAGGTGGTAGGTGTGTTCTTTTTTAGAATCACTTTGCCGAGTACACTGGCATTACAGCCACTAGACATATTTTATTATATACGCGTAGAAATATTATTTAAAAATTTCTATTAATGTTAACTTGAAGAAATAATATGTTTCATTTGTATAAATGCATTATAAAGCGCTTTTATGAAGAACATTTTTTTGAAACACACTGTAACTGTAATCGAACGAAGGTGAAATTTTGGCATAAATTGGTAACACTTATTTGACAGTTGCGGTGTTGACACTTTTAGTACTTTATTATTTTGAATTTTAAAGTGAATACCTCTTGTTTTATATTTTTACCTATTTAATAAAATCTGTTCTTTTTAGAACAAAATTGGTATGTTTTATTTCAAAAATGTCACATAAGAATTTAAATAGTCGTTGTAAAGAGATGGTAATACTTTTGCAATAATTATGTGATCTATTTGATTTAAAATGAAGTCAGGATTTTTTTATACTTTGGCAACTATGCCAACTTCGATCTCTGACGTAGATAATGACGTGCATCGTTATGTAAATTAGATGAAGTATACATACCAATGTGCATTTGTAATAATTATTATGTGGTGGAATTTTGATTGAAATACATATCTATATTGGACCTCTACACTAATGTCCACTGTTAGATTTCATAAATAATAATGGCTTTGTGACTGATTTATAAACTAAGATTTTGGAAAAGTCAGTTGTTATCTTTTACTATTAAAGAATTAGTAAAATCTACAGAGCTTGAAATACAATTTTATATATTTTTTTCCAATAAAGGTATAGGGTAGGTGAGGGTAAAAGTCCGCACTTTATATATATATATATATGCAATATTTGCCACACTTTTGATTTCAGTATACATATTAAATTTGTCGGGCCATTAGGATAACTAATGCCCTTAGCTGTAAATATAAAACGACAGCTAAATAGCTGTAAGAAAAAAAAAACTATAGCGTAAAGTACAATATTTTACAAATTGGGCCATTAATTGGGGCAAAAGTCCGCATGCGGATCTTGGCCCCTTTGAATAAAAAATAATTTTATAAAAGTAAAAATTAACAACGTATCAGATACAAATCTTTATTTTGTCAAAAAACATTATCTAAAAACTTATATACATACAAACAAGTATATATATGACCTAAATGCAAAAAGATAGAAAATAAAAGAAAAAAGCCGAAACACTTTTTAGGTTACAACTAGTTCAACATTAAATCAGTTAGTTTCTGAAAAACGTATTGTATTGGGTGCCCTTTTATAATAAATACCACTGTCACCCTCATCTACCATTACAGTAATTCGCATAACGTACATTCGAAATGAGTCCTTGATTTTGCCGTAAACTTTTACTATAACAAACTCTCCTGGACTTAATTCGGATAATTCATTTTCAGCATCACTTTCAGAAAAACTTAAATTGCTGCTACTATCATGAAGTGATATTTGCGCGCGTCCGAGTCAGAAAAATATTCATATTCCTTTTTATTTAATATATTTTGTTTTTCTTCAAATACTTTTCTTACTGTATTTTTATTTTCCTTAATGCTTTCCTTCCTTTTTTTCTCGTTTATTTTGTATTTCTTCTCCAGCTCTGAGATTTCCATTTGCTCTTTATGTAGAGTAGATGTATCTACAAGACTGACATTACTGAACATTACAAGAATAACTTTTCTTGTTCGTTTTCTCTTTTTGGTTAGTTTTGGCAACGGAATGATATTTGATGGTATCGTAGTGAACATTTCATTTTTCGAGCTTCCGGGTTTTGATTTCAGGTTACTTGGAGTGCTAGCTCTATCTGGTAGATTTTCAACATTTCGTTCTGCTTCACCACTTGGTTCTTCTGCTTTTGACTTTTGTCTTCGTCAAAGAGGTACAATACTTAAGAATAGTGTGAATACTGAAGAAGGTAAAAAATCTTCTTCAGTAAAGACATTTTCATCTAAAGGGAACATACCTGTCATTTTAAATCCATTAACAGCTTTTTCTATAGTAGCAGTTTTCTCATAGGCCTGCTTGGATAATCCAGCGACTTGGTATTCTGTGACTACTTGCCCGGGATTAGATGTGGTCCAATTATCACATAAATCATCATAGTAAGCTTTTAATGGCCTAAAAAAGTTTCTGTCCAGTGGTTGAGTTCGATGACTGCTATGAGGTGGGAGGCTGAGCAAATGGATGTTATTATTTTTTGCGTAAGTGATGGCCTCTAGAGTGGTATGGGATATGTGGTTAACCAAAATTAATAGCACTGCTGTTTTTGCTACTTCTTTTTTTCCAGTGGGAGCAACTAGTTTAGGTAATTTATTTGGTACTGTCTGTAAACCACTCTCATCCATGTTGTAGATTTTATTCGCTGGAAATTTATATTTCTTTAAGACAAATTTTAAATTTTGAAAATACTGTGTCAATTGATGTTTGTTGAAACCTATGGTCCTAGCTACATTGGTTTTTCATGGTATACGTAATGAAAGGCGGTTTCGTTTTATAAAATTTCTAGTTCAATCTCTACCTGCTAGTTTTGATTGCTTAGAAAATTGATGCTGGATACCATTTCTTTCTGCAAACTGATATGCCAGAAAACGAAGCGATTTTAGGGTAAGCCCATAGAAACGTAAGTCTAAAGCTTTACAATGGTCCACTATTTGCTTTTCTTGCTCTGGAGTACATACAGATCGAAATCCACCCAAGAAATTAACGCTGCTGTCCGCTTTTAGCCTCTTTAGAATGGTAGATTTATCATAGCCAAAAGTTCTACGTATTTCTCGTGTTGATAGACCTCTTTCCTTTAAATATTTAGCCTACATAAACATATCCTCTGTAAATGCTCTCGGGTTCTCATTTTTCTCTTGTACGTCCTAAAACAAAAACGTAATTTTTACAAACAAACAAAAAAAAACGTAATTTATACAAAATTAAAAAAAAACATTATGAATTAAGTAAAATTCTAGATAATAAACAAAAACGTGCTTAATGAGGCAAAAATCCGCATGCGGATCTGGTACCTCTTTTCCTATTTTTGCGTTGAGATCACCATAAATAATTTTGATGTCATTCTTTGGGCATGAATGGTATGCAGCTTCTAGTTCTTCATAGAATTTTTCTTTGACATTGTCTTCCTTTTCCTCTGTAGGGGCATGCACATTTAAGATGCTATAATTAAAAAATTTTCTCTTTAGTGTCAGGATGCACATTCTAGAGTTACTAGCACGAAAGTCTAGTCTATATAGAATTTGGTATGTGTATGGTGTCTTTTGTCAATGGTGCCACTGCCGGTCCATCTCATTTCGTGCAAGGCTCTTATATCTATGTCATATCTATAGATCCTATAGTATATCTATACCTTTATTCCATAACATTACGAGAAATCTGGTATATCGGTATGAAGTCTGTCTTGAGAGATTAGAAGCTCATTAACCAGTTGAGTACATGAGCCTACTATATGAATATCATCAGTAATCTAAAATGATTTTGAAAAAATAGTGATTACCAAAAATTGTAAAATTCCAAAATATTAGATATTTTTGTCCATGAGTATATTTTTTGTATATTGCAAACATAATGGAAATATTTTACCATGACATAGTGTTTTTAATTTTTTTTGGTAAATTAAAGCTTGATTATAGTTAATAATATATATATTTTTATTTTAGACTTATTACCATGTTACCTTCTTCGATAAGGTGGAAGTAACTCGAGCTTGGTTAAAACCATCATGCATTATTCCCTTCGAACGAAACATTAACAATCCACAAATGGCGGTGTCGTCTAATAATCCATTTAACAGTAGACTAAAATTTTCGATAAAACAGGCCGAAGGTGCTGTAAAATTACCGCTTCTTGACAGATTACGCACGTATAGTTTTATCGAGAGATACCGAAAACCATTGAAAGTAGTAAGCAAAGGAATAAAGCAACCAAAACCAGTGGTTGCAGAGAAACAACAGAAGTCAAAGACGCGGAAAAGAATTTTAGTTCCAGATGATTCTTCAAGTGAAGAGATGGATATTTTGTAAGAGTAGTAAATATGATTAGATATAAGTATATATTGTTAAATATCAATAATTAAATCGTTATATTATATTCACAATATTTATTGAAATATTTATATTAATGTTTGAGAAGAGATAAAAGTAATTTGCTTTAAATAATTCTATAAGTTTAATACATTGATGTATCTTGTTTAAGAATGTTATTTCATTTCAAAGGACTAATTTTGTGTTTTGTTATAAGAAAAAAGTAGAATAGTATTACATTATATATTTTATATAAACTGGCCGACAAAAAAGTGGCCATCATATAAATTTCCGAAAATAAAAATTAATTGGTAGTTCTATGCACCATTTCATGTTGTATACTCAGCATCTTTCATTTTTAAAATAAAAAATGGTTATTACTGCTTCCTTAACATTAACATTCCTTAACATAATTTATTTAATTAGACGACTACAAAAAAAATAGTGTAATATCGAAACTAATTACAAACAATAAAAATTACGAGTGAACTTGAGCAACATTTTCTACTATCGGGTATTATTCCCTAAAACATCAATAACCGTTTGCATACGATTTGCAAGAGAAAGGAACAAATTTTGATAAAAACATATCAGAAATATGTTCATATTCTTCACTAAGCATATTTTGAAGTTCTGCAAAACTTTCTGCTTGGTCTGGTTGACTTCTAACATTACGATGAAGTTAATCCAAAAGTAGGTAAAGAAATAATAAATAGGACTTACAATCAATTTAATTTAACTATCAGACGACCGGTTTCGCTTTCTACAATATGCAAAGCATCTTCAGGTCTCGATACAAAGTTAAATAAATGCTGAAATGACAAAAACCCATATTAGGGTGTTGTCTAATAAAAATAAACAAATTAGATGTTGTAAATTACAATAAGTATGCCAATATTACATGTCTGTGGTTTTATTTCAAAATGAGTAAGTTGAATAAAAAGGTATAAAAAGTTTTAAAAGTTTAAACAGACAAGGTAAGGCCCACAAATTGTTATAAAATAGTCTATTAGATTGTAAATAGTCAGATTTGCTCATTTATTAATTTATTACAATCTAATAGACTATTTTATAACAATTTGTGGGCCTTACCTTGTCTATTTAAACTTTTTATACCTTTTTATTCAACTTACTCATTTTGAAATAAAACCACAGACATGTAATATTGGCATAATTATTGTAATTTACAACATCTAAATTGTTTATCTTTATTAGACAACACCCTAATATGGGTTTTTATCATTTCAGCATTTATTTAACTTTGTATCGAGACCTGAAGATGCTTTGCATATTGTAGAAAGCGAAACCGGTCGTCTGATAGTTAAATTAAATTGATTGTGAGTAAGTCTTATTTATTATTTCTTTACCTATTTGAAATGGACTTACACAAGCAACACATTCATGATTTTAATCCAAAAGATTTTCGATGATATTCAGATCAGGGCTGCAGGTTGGCCATTTTAGAGTATTAATTATTCTTATTTCCCCCAAGTAATTTGTCACGATTATTGCAGTATGTGGCCGTGCATTATCATGCATAAAGACGAAATTGTTCCCAATAAATGGATCAAATGGAACTACGTCTTCTTCTTGTGCCACTCCTATCGGAGATTGGAAATCATCAAAGCCATCCTGACCTGATGTTCATTAGTAGCAGCAGCAGTTAAAACAACCTCTAGACCGGAGTTTGTTGGAACCTGATATGAATTTTCAGCTTGAATTGTATAGGCTTTTATTTCTTTAGATATCGTAACGTGGGACCATGGCTGAACGAGAGCTAACGCAGCAGCCTCAGTTACCTGAGATATATTTGTCACATAATCATCTGCTTGTGATGACTTCTGAGAATATTATTAAGCAAATATTGTGGAAAAAAGTCCACAAAAGAGAAAAATGGTCGAACGATGCGATGGCCACAAAATTTAAGGATGGCTTGATTGAAACTACAATCTCTAAACCAAAGAAGGTAAAGAATATAAGTATTTTTCGTCAGGATAGCGTACCTGTTTCCAAAACAGTAATTACAATGGATAACAGTCATGAATTTGTGTTTGAATTAATGTCTCATTCACTCTATTTCCCAGATTTGGCTCCTAGCGATCATGTTTCCAAATCTGAAATAATTACTCGGCAGTAACTTATAAGTCTAGGAAATTGTCAAAGGGTTCTTGTTAGACAATAAGTAGATTCACAATATAAAATATGTAGTTTATTTTAAAAAATTGAACACACAATTTAAAAATATCATTAAAACATAATATGTGTGTTTTCAGTCTTACTATTAACTGTATCTTGGCCATACCAAATTTACTCCATCTTGATAGTGACAACCGATAATTGGATGGCATTCCTCATGTTCTACTTGAATTTGTACAATAATTTTTCCATCATATCGTGCGAATTTCAGTTTGCAAGTTTATGCTGGATGATTCAATCTAGATTCGAAAGATTGATTCATAACTTGGAAGATATACATAACAAACACTATATGGAGAATGGTAAGAGTAGTACATATATTGTTTAATTATGCACCAATTAGTAATACACGTAGTATAACGCACAAAAGTGATTATTTCTTAAGGTCGCTTTACATTTACGAGTACTCGGATCCGAGTAGCTCGGATTTGAGTTACGAGTGGAACTGCGATCGTTTACATTAAATCCGAGCGATCAGAGTAGTTTCAAAGAGAATTTAAAAATGGCGCCATCAAGAAAGAAACGAGCTGCTGTTGCATTAGTGTTATTTAACATTTTAAAGGAGAAAAATTAAGACAAAAAAATTAAGATAAAGAAAAGCATTTGGGTGAAACAACATTTACAAGAGGTTTGTTAAAGTTATTGATTACCTAATTTAAAGAATTATTTCCTTTGATAATGTCCCGATACTCCTTTAGTTTCACATTCCATAAACATTCAAAAGAACGATAAAGATCGATAAATTGATCCATTTGATCTGCATAAAATCTTAGTTCCGCCATTTTTAATTTGGAATTTCCACCACTTTGACGCTCACTCGTACAGGAACTCGTACTGCTACTCGGTTTGCATTCAACTTCAATCCGAGCTCGGATCCGAGTGACAAGAAGCTCCGAGTAGACGTTTATACTTCCGAGTTGCACCAGAGGTTGCACTCCGAGTAGAGTAACTTGGATGCGGGTACTCGTAAATGTAAAGCGGACTTTATTCTGCATATAATAACACCATTGTTAGGAAAATGTAGACAAATTATAAATTAGAGCCTATTTGGAATGTAGGACTTAAAATGGTTCATTAACCACAATTTCAGTTAATTATACGTTTATTTTGAACGATTGATAGATCATTACTATTTTAATGGGAATAAGCCACAATTGATAAAATAAGTTTATTTTATTGATGTTTTAGTCTCCACTTTGTAAATCGTTCTCAAAATACAAACATTAATAAAGTAAACAAATTTTGGTTTTTTTATTAATTTGTTAATTCATTTTAATAATTAGAGCATCAGGTAGAAGGCACCATTTCATTAAGAGCAAAAAAGGTTTTATAGCATTTTTGTCTAAATTCAACCGTTTGTCCAAAAAACGAAAATACATTTTAGTGTGCAAGAAGAAATCTGTCAACTACGTGCAATAAGAAAATCTAAACGTAGACAGTCGCAACTTTAGTAAACAGATACTTTGGAACAATCGTGTTTGGTGTCACCGCTAAAATGTTTTCGATTCCTGAGTAACATGATATGTTGATTATTTATGGAAAAGCCCAGTGTAGCAGTAATTTAGCTGCTCAAAAAACGTGGTTCATAGAACATTTAGGGAACAACTTCTACATCCATATCACTATCAAAGAAAACAAGATTTACAACAAGGTGGTCTTCCTCTAAAATTAATATTTTGTAGGTGGTTTTAAGATACATTCGTCAGAGAACCTGAATCCATCTAAAGTGTAATGTGTGAATGAAGCATGTTTTACGAGAAACGGTGTATATAATAACGGTGTGTAATTCTTCTTCTTGATGTGCCTATCCGGATGTACGGATCCGAGCTCGGATTGAAGTTGAACGCAAACCGAGTAGCAGTACGACGAGTTCCTGTACGAGTGAGCGTCAAAGTGGTGGAAATTCCAAATTAAAAATGGCGGAACTAAGATTTTCTGCAGATCAAATGGATCAATTTATCGATCTTTATCGTTCTTTTGAATGTTTATGGAATGTGAAACTAAAGGAGTATCGGGACATTGTCAAAGGAAATAATGCTTTAAATTAAATTAAATTAGGTAATCATTAACTTTAACAAACCTCTTGTAAATGTTGTTTCACCCAAATGCTTTTCTTTGTCTTAATTTTTTGTCATTATTTTTCTCCTTTAAAATGTTTAATAACACTAATGCAACAGCAGCTCGTTTCTTCCTTGATGGCGCCATTTTTCAATTCTCTTTGAAACTACTCTGATCGCTCGGATTTAATGTAAACGATCGCAGTTCCACTCGTAACTCAAATCCGAGCTACTCGGATCCGAGTACTCGTAAATGTAAAGCGACCTTTACGAATGTTGGCGATCATCATGGCAAGCTTTATCTTATCTGCAGCAGCGCGAAAAACCTGCACAGATGTTGTATTGAACCAGATTCTGAGGTTCTTTAACCAATATGTTGTTCTTCTTCCTGGACCTCGTTTTCCAAATATTTTTCCTTGCAGGATGGCTTGAAGGAGAGCATATCTGGGATCATTTCGCATAATATGTCCGAAAAATTGTAACTTTCGAGATTTGATGGTGGTCAGTACCTCTTAGTTCTTATTCATTCTTCTGAGGATATCCTAATTTTTGACTCGGTCAGTCCACAGATCTTAAGTATTCTCCGATATAGCCACATCTCAAATGCTTCCAGTTTTTTGAACTCTTATCTTCGTTCTCTGTATCTATATCTTCGTTCAAGCTCCTCGATTCAATACCATAAAAAGGACAGAGAAGACGTAGCATTGCAGCATTCTTACTTTTGTATCAAGAGAGAGGTTGTGACTCTTAAAGAAGGCCCCCATCCGATTGAAGGCGGATCTAGCTTTTTCGATGCATGCTCTAATCTCCTGGTTGTTGGTCCATTCTTCATTTATTATGGTGCCGAGATAGT